GAGCTATCTGTGTAATATGAAAATTAGAAAAAAATGCAACCACCTTATTGTAGTTACCACCATACAGCCTTCCAGTGGCCAGACACGAGGAATAAGACAAAGAGAAATGCTGCGGGCATTCATTTACTCCTTCAGCTGCAGTAACATTGTCTGTAACCTCTGCTTTATGAGCCTGTCCTTTATTTGCAATGATGAAAAGAAGATAATACCTGGTTGTGTCTGATGGAAAAGAGCCTGAATTTAAAGGACTGCATTCCTTGTAATGAAGCCCTGTGTGACCCAATTGCCTTCATTGCTCAGCTGAATGCGAGTGCCGGTAGAAACCTTCTACCTCGAATGCATGCCCTGCCTCAGGAAATTGAGTTTGCTGGGATCCCAAGGTTCTCTGTGTGAACCAAGGAGGGACAGCCTACAAGAGCTGCTGAACTGTGTTGGTGCTGCCAGACAAGCCCTCTTCGCTCTCGCTTTGCACCAAGCTGATGTCAGTCAGAGGCTAACGCAGCCTATGTGGCCAGGCTGATCCTTGGCCTCCCCACTGAGCAAACTGACACGCGGCTGCTAAGTGCTGGCGGTGGCCATAGGTCTGTGTGACACACACGCTTGCTGGTCATGAACTGTGCCATTTTCCCAGCTTTTACAGCAGACCATTCCGCTGTCGCTGGTTGGGGTCAGTCGGAACAAGCTGCCATTAGAGGTACTGTGCACTCTTCGGATTTCTCCCTGGCGCCATGACCTGTCCTAAAGAATGCCAGATGAGTTCACTGGCAAAGATGGGAAGGGATTCCAGGGCCTTTGGCTGTGATGTCCTTTGGGGGAATTCTAAGCTAGGCTGGTGAGAGTGACTCGGAACACTGTTTACATAGCGCTCATTTCTTCCGCATATGACACATGCCGTGCCCTAGCGTGCCTGCCTTGTTCCAGACCCAATGCTTGTCTTGAGCCACTGCATTTACCTTGCTGAGAGCCTCATGTGGGTGGAAACCTCGGCTGATGTAAGAGGACTTTGCTCTGGTTTTGAACCTTTTCCTCTTACATGTTGAGCTGCATGGGATTTTCTAAGAAAAGATCGCACTGTGTTTTACAAAGGTTGCTAAACCCTGTCATTTTCATTTCATAGATGGTAACCCACCTCCTAAGGAGTCTGTGTGACCTGACTGAGATCAGCCAGAAAGTTAATGGCAGAACCGGAGAGAGAAACATGACGCGCAGAATTTGTTTCTTTGCTCTGAACTACGGCCTGCCAGTGGCACAGCGCTTGTCCATACACTCAGTATTTCACCACACAAGTGCATTTCACTGCTCGTTATAACCTGAATCAATGTGTGTCTCTCCATATGTATTTTTAAAAAGAATCATTATTGGAGGCTTTAACTAGGAATGATTAGCTGGTTGTTACACAATGCAACGGAACGCGTCTGCCCAAACAGCACGTAACACTAGAAATCAACGCGTACTCAGTACTTCAGAGAAAACTGAAAAAAAATCTAACACCTTGACCAGAATAATATGTCCACTAAACTCCCTGCCATGGAGCATTGACTAGATCTGCTCCCAAGATCCTGAATCCAAAGCACACTCAGGAGGCTGTAATGCTATGGCTTTGGTATTCTTCAAAAGAAGACCAACAGAGAGCCCGCAGTACTAAGCCCAGCCTCAGTCGAGCAGAAATAGAGGGACAAGTTACGTGTGGTTTGTTCCGCTCTGCTTTTGTCTCTAAGAGAAGCAGAAAATAAGGCTTAAACTACAGCATCCATTGCACTGCTTTCTGTGCAACCATACTGTGCTCAGTCCTGTTCCCACTAAGATACGTTGTCTAATTGAAAACATTTTTCAAGGATGACTATTTTTCCATGAAACTGTGTTCTTAGGTTAACTGTGCATGCTGCAAAACAGCAAAAATCCCCATTGATGTCTGCAGCCAAGGTAGGAGGCACCACTTACAGCAGGTTGTGTGTGAGCCAGGCAGAAATATTCTAACCGGGGTGACTGAAGATAACATGGTTATAGTCAAATGATAGATGGAAAAGTTCTTGTGGCAAGTAGGGTGCTTGAGGGCTTTGACATGAACATTGATTGCTGACCAAAGAATTAAGCGCTTCTGTCACTCGGCATTCTCAGTTGCGTGCACTGTTTGCATGCAGGTTTACACAAATGCATGTATGTATGTGTGCGTGTGCATACGCATTAAGATTATCGTGCACAGTACCCAGTGCATTAAATGGGAGCAGGGAAGCTCATGATGTAGAGATGACTGCTCTGTCTCCATCCTGCCAGCTCTGGTGTGGTTTGTGCATTGACTACTGTACAGATTATTTGTTTTTCGTACAGTCTGTTTTGCCATAATTATAACAAGACTATTGTGCAGCAGAGGAATAGTTTTTTTCCTAAATCTTGAGCAGCTCATTAAACCATAGCTTTTGCTCTAGTTTGTGCCTAGCCTTTACCTGCATTAGTTTGGAGTGAACAAGTTTCAGGCAAAGCTCAGTACTGAGCTACAGGCGTCCCAAATGTGTCCTGATAGCACCAGTGCAATGCCGACGGATCGGCGCAGTGCGGGCGCCTACGATTCGTGTACCACAAAAAGTAATTAATGGGAAGTAAATTTTAATAAATGCTTGGGGGAGACTTTAAAAGTGGAATTAAAACAGCGCTGTTTTGTAGTCTTTCACCTGAAAGACTTTGTTAATGCTAGACTACTACTGAGGATGACAAATAAAATGTAATCAAAACATTTTTGGAAAATCTAATAACCTAAGGTGCTGTTGTCCTTATAGGGAGATCCCATTGTGAAGTGCAGTATATGCAGCCTTTCTAGGGACGGAGATAACTTTTCCTGTACAGACCTTGCTGGTGGTCTTGGGTGCCAAGAAGCTCACAGACAGCTCTAACAGCTCTGGATATTGTGCCAATGACATTTTTGCTTTGTAAACTCCGTATTTTGAGAAAACACAGAAATACATTTCTAGCAAGTTGGTTAATAAAGTGCCATGTATCCATGGCAGGGGTTGGAGTGTTAGAGGAGCTCCAGTTCGTACAGTGGGTAAGGGGAGCACAATGAGCCGTTATGGAGCATTTAACCTGTTCTCTAGGTTTACTTTGACCATAGAAGATAGAAAAAAATGTGTGTTTGCCTTGCAAGCCAGTACTCTGCTCATGTGTTGTGCACGGAGCCATAGGAGCCACCGCAGTGACAGAGTTTGCGCTGCCCGCGGCCGCAGTGCTGGGTCCTCCTGTGCTACCATTTCCTATCCTACTGCAGTGCTTCCCAGCTCACAGTGCCATCCTTGTCTTGCATGGACCCACAAGTTCTGTGACCTGACTTGTGCCTCGGTGGCTCCACACTCAGATGCCATCAGAGTACGAATCAAATATGGTGGGTTGCAGCAGAGCTTCTCCAATAGAGCAACGTTTAGCAGTTACAAAGCCCTCATCCTTTTCAAAGCGTTTTACAAACACTGTCCAGCCAATATCTGACCCTTCTCCAATCTGCATCCCCAGGCTGGAGAAACTGAGGCACGGACTCGAGCCCTGCCCTACACTGGCTGCACAGCTGAGAGCGGCGCCCGGCCCTCAGCCTCCTCACTGGGACTCTGAAGTCCCGCGCAGCACTGAGTGCAGCAGGGAGGAGGTTTGGGGCACAGGGTCCCCAGTTAGCAGCACACCCGAGCCATGGGGAGAGGGGCACGCCAAGCCCTCTGTCCCCAGCCCCGGCTGTCCGTAAGCTCCTCTGTACCTCAGTCCCTCCCAGGGACAGCGCGCGTCCTTCCGCGCCGCCCGTGCGAGGTGTCTGAATGTCAAACTGTTATTATTTCAGTACCTGACTGAGAGAGGAGCAGAGACCTGGAGGTTTTTTAGGAGGGTGTATAATTAGCCGATCAGTATTATGTTACCCTGTTCATAACTTAATAACCATTTTAATACAGATGGCACACACAGGGATAATTTCCTAGGGTAGCCTAGCAGTATATTACAGAGACAGTGTGTCTGAGGGAATCTTCCTCAGCCAAGGTACATTCCAGCAGCTAATTCTACCTGCTGTTTTCAAGATGATTTGGGATAATTCCATATCATTTGCAAAATATTAAAACCCATTTATATAGGATGCCAGATTTAGAAATACACAGCCTGAGTTATTAGACATATTTTGATAAATCTGTCACGTAAAGCGCAAGACAAAAAATACCGCTGTGTTCTCCCCGCTATTTATTTTTTTCTTCCCTTGCTATAAATACACCAGATTTAAAAAAATCTGGCTAAACTCACTGTATATCAAGAGGACAAATATACTGACGTGTGCGGTTTTATCTCTGTAGGCACGAGGAAAGTCCGCGTGCATATTTACGTACACCCTGTGTGCTTTTATGGCAGTGGGACTCCGTGTATTTGGGACTGCGTGCAGAAATCACATCCTTACACCCGGTGGGTTCTGGTGCCCATGTACGTGCCCTTTGCCAGCGCTCCCGTGCCCTTTCCCATTTCTGCAGGCACACTCGAGGTCCGTGCAGATGCACTGCACAACATCGGGGTGACTGCTGTGCCCACAACGGTGTTCCCGAAGCGTGCAGCATTTGTACACGCAGCAGGCAAGCATCCGAGCACCTCGCAGTGGATTAATACGTGACCCTAAGTGCTGCGGGCCGTTTCCCCCCGTATCTATTATTTTCTGCCTGTCACACCGTTACTTTTCTCACCCCGAGCCCCTACCGACAACAGCCGCACCCCGCAGCAGGGAGCGGGCGGGACGTACGCGGTGCTGCGCCCGGCCGGGAGCGGAGCTGGGGAGCGCTGGGCGCCCGGGGCTGGCAACTCCGTCCCGAGCCTCGCTGCCGCCGGGGTCTCTTGCCCGGGAGGGCCTCCCGCAGCCCTGGCGGAACGGGCCCGGCTCGGAGCGCGGCGAATCCCGGAGCGCCCGGGGGATGCCGGGGGAAGGACGGGGAGGGTCGCGCTGCGCGGGGCTGTGGGACCGGGGAGAGACGAGCGGGCCGCGGACTCGCCCTTACCTGTTTATGGAGGAGACGCTGGGAACCGTGTCGTTGTCGCAGATGCCCTCGGCCAGTAGCCTGTCCCGAATCTCCCAAGCGAACATGGTGGGGTTTTGTCTCTTGTACTCGGCGATTTTATCCACTACTTTGGGGGTCGCTACTTTGGGCTTGGAGCCGCCGATCACGCCGGGCTTGATGCTCCCCGTCTCGTAATACCTGCACGCAGAGCGCGGAGGTCAGCGCCCCGCAGCGCCCCGCGCCCACCGGGCTCTGTGCCCCGGGATGCTGCTCCGCAGGGCCTCGGGCTGCGGGGTCGCCGCTCGTCGCCAGGGCTCGCCCCTGCTCTCTATTTTCCTTTTTTCTTTCTTTCTTTTTTTTTTTTTTTTTTTCTTTTTTCTTTTTTTTTAAATGAGTGTGTTTTTGAGGCGCTAGCAGCGCTGGCTTATTTGCTGCCTTCCCTGCCGTGCTCTCACACGCCTTTCAGGTCCGGACACCGGCAAACAAACCGGAGACCCCCGGCTGAGCGCGGGGCCGGGCCGGGCCGCGGGCAGAGCCGTGCGGCAGCGCGTCCATCCTCCCCCCGCCTCCCGCCTGCAGCCCCGCACGGCCCCGCAGCGCATCCCGGCAGCGCCTCTCGCCGCGTTCCGCGCTCGTGGCCCCGCGGTTCGGCCCCGGGATGCCGCGCACCGCATTTGGTGGCAGAGATTTATTTCCTTGCTCTGATGTTTATTTATTTACCCGTGCATTTGCTAAGGCCGCCTACAGATCGGTACGAGTTGGGTTTTTTGTTGATGGGTTTGGGTTTGTTTGTTGTTTTGTTTTTTTTTCTTTGTCGCTCTTCTATCGTCTTCTTGCGGGCGGGGGGCGGCCCCCCCCTTTTTTTTTCTTCCTCCACCTCCCCTTCCCCCGTCCCTTCTCCCTCCCGCCGCCCCCTCCGCAGCCGTTCCTTCCCGCAGCCCCCGGCCCGGCGCGTTCTCCCTGTGCGGCGGGGCTCGGCGTGCCGGGGCTGCGAGGAGCGGAGGGAGGCGGCGGGCAGCCGCGGCACGGGGGAGGGAGCGAGGGCTGGCGCGGTCCTTACCTGCCCAGGATCTTGCTGACACAGCCGTGGCTGACCCGCAGCTGCCTGGAAATGTCACAGGGTCGCACCCCCTGGTGAGCCAGCTCCACTATCCTTTGTCTCACCACGTCAGGTAAGGGCCTGCCGTTCACAAACACCCCCCCGAGCTGGTTCACACCCCCGTGCCCTGCTGGGGAAAGAGAAATAAAAAAAAAAAAAACACAACAACCCACGCACCCCAGAAAGACACCGTTAGTCGGGAGCTCTTTGCCACGCGCACTGCAAAAATAATCTCCGCTCACTGCGGGTGCGTGAGGGTGAGGGTCAGGGGAACACGGGGTGGGGGAGAGGGGAAAAAAGGAAGAAAGAGAGGGGTAGGGAAGAAATGAAGGGAGGAAGGGAGAGAAGAAGGGAGGGCAGAGAAAGGAGGAAATAAAAAATTGAAAAAGAGGGAAAGACAGAGAGACAAAAAGACGGAGATGGAAACACAGAAACAGAGAAGGAAAGAAAGAAAGAGACAGAGAAAGAAAGAGATAGAAAAAGAAAGAAAAAAAGAAAGAAAGAAAGAGAGAGAGAGAGAAAGAAAGAAACAGAAAAAAGAAAAAGAGAAATAAGGGGAAGAAAGGAGCAGAGCTGGATGCGGGCCGTGGGGTGGCACATTGCTCGGGGCCCCGTGCATTTCCCGAGCCGCCCGCACAGCCCCGCGCGCCGCGCCGCTCCCCAGCCCGGGACGCGGAGCGGTTCCCCGGGGCCGTTGTCACCGGGCAAGGACGGGGTGAGTGCCGGCCCCGGGAGCTGGGAACGGCTCCGCTCCCAAACTGCGGAGCCGCTCGGCGGCCCCGGGCAGCTCCTGCCGCGGTCCCCCCACTTTCTACTCCGACGCTTTCCCTCTCCCGTTTAATTTGCTTTCCACGATTTTCTATCGCATTGTCAATTACAGTTACCGGCGACCCCGCCCTCCCCCAGCCCGCAGCGTGTCCCCGCACAGCGCGCTGTCTCCGGTTATTTTCGGATGAGCGTTGAAGGGATTCAGACAGAAAAAGAGAAGGAGGAAAGGGCGGATGGAGAGGGAGGGCGAGAGCGGGGATGGCCGTGTGTCCCGCGGCCGGAGCTCGCCTGCACACGGACCCTCTCCCCTCTGCTTTCGATCTTCAAAAGAAAAGTCACCCAGGAAAAAAAAAAAAAAATGTCAGACTGTCATGAATCTTTTGTTGTTGTTGTTTTGCTTTTGCTTCTTCTTTTTTTTTTTTTTTTTTTTTTCCCCTTTCTTTCTCTTTTACTATATGGATTTTTTTCTTTTCCCCTCACGAATCTACATCAGTGGGAACTGGTTGAGGGAAAATTCAAAACGCTCCGTGTTTCCCCGTTTCTCCCTTTCTGGACAAAACCCTGCTCTCCCTCACTCGGGGCCACATCGCCGATTTCCCGGCTCCTCTTCCCCCGCACCGAGCAATAGCGGGCGGCTTTCCGAGCGTGCACCTGCGGCAGCCGCCCGGCTGCACCGGCAGCCCGCTGATAGAGCTGTGCCGCGGCGTCCTTCCGCCCGGCCCTAACCTTGTGAGCATCCCCAGCCACGAGATCTTTGTTCGTTCCGCACTTCGCTGAAAAATGATCTGTTTGTATTTTCGCTGAGGTTTTTTTTTTTTTTTTTCTCCCCCGCTTGTGACACTGACTTATTGGCTCTGAACTTAGTGGAAACTCTCATTGCCCTGCGATCGATCCGAGCCCTCTTGCACAAATAGAGTTTTTTCCGTCTCCCCCCCTTCAGAAGCACCTTGCCCACCCCCCTCCCCCCGCCGCCCCTGCCCCACGGCTCAGCCGTTGGCCGCGTTCTCGTGTGGCTCTTCGTAAATTAGATGCGGGGTGCCGGAGAGGGGGGGGGGAGGGATTTGCGTGCCCCCGCCGATACCCGCGGCCGTATGCCGCGTTCCTTCGTTTGTTCTGAGCCCCTCCGCACATGTTGCCTCTAAAGTTACAGGACAGCAATTTCTTCGGCAACTCCGCGATAAATAATTCAAAGGGCCTTTTAGAACTCGCATTACAAAGTATTAAAGGGCAACGGATGCAAAAAAGATTAAAAATTAATAATTCAAATTCTTGCACCGCGGCCGTGCCTCGCAGGAGCGGCGTTCGCTCGCAGTGCGCCTTGCGGGGCTCGGGGCGGGATGCGGGGCGGGATGCGGGGCGGCCCCGAGCGCTCCCCGCGGGGCAGACATCGCGCACAGAACTGCCGGGCTGCCGGGGCTCGGGCCGGGCCGGGCCGCGCCGCTCAGCGCCTCAGCCCGGGGGGTTCGGCCACTTACCGATCCCTACGCCTATACTGGAAATACGGCGTGGGGAGCGAATCGAACGTAGATTTGTTATTGTTATTATCGTTAGTATGAATTTAATCGGAAGCCCAAATCGCTGCCGAGTGCCACTGAGTTCCGAGCACCGAACGGCTGTGCCGTGGCTGCCGCTCCCGGCTGCCCGCCCGCTCCGAGCGCACCGCACCGAAGGCGGAATTTCTGCGGCCGCCGCGGAGCGAAGCAGCGCCGTGCGGGCTGAAGCAGCGAGCAACCGCGGGCCGCTCGGTGCGCTCCTCGGAATTAAATGCTGCGTTCGAGGCGATGTGCGCTGGAAATGATTAATTGGGAATCGGGAGGGCGGCTGCCTGCAGCTGTCCTGCCAGCGTTTGGGGAACGGGCCGTGGCTGCGTCTCTGTGCCTTCTCACGGCAAAATCGGATTTGGTAAACTCGGAGCATTTCTAATTTGTGTCTTTTCGGTTTGCTTTTGTGCAGCGGGCAGGGCGTGTCCTCAAAAGTTTCGGTGTCAGAAGTTACAAATCGCTCTCAATTATTCATCTCTTGGCTCGGGATGCTCTCAATCTCGGCCTCGTATTCGTATTTGTTCCTTAATTTAAAGCTCGGAATTATTTTCTCTCCGTGCAGTGAAATTAAAACCCCCAAACATCCCTCTCTACGTGCCCTGGCAGAGGATCTCTTCGCTTCCCTTCGCCCCCGTTTAGAGAAAGAATGCCTCTCTAAAGTGAAAACACACCGCGGATCCCTTCCCCGGGCACTAGCAGTACGTTCTAATCGCCCGTCGTGGACTCGGTACGTGAGCGAGTAGGAGCCCGGCTCTGTGCAGCCCCGAGGCCGCACGGTTCCCAGCACCACCTCGCCCCGTTTTCCCGCATCTCAGCCTTTAAACGAACCCCACGAACCGGGGCCCGGAGCCGCCACGACCGAACTATCGTGAGCGTGGAACTGCCATCTCTTTGCCTATCTGCCACTGACAGCCGAAATCGAAGCCAAACCCCACCAAATCCCGAGGAAAAAAAAAACGGATTTCGCATCCACGAAAGGTCGCGGGCAGCCCCTGCTCCAGGCACGGTGATGGAAAGCGATAAAAACAAAAGGAGCGAGGGATAACGCCGCATCTTCCGAGGGCGGCCGGGAGCGGCGCGGGGCCGCTCGAGGCGCCGGGTCCCGGGAGCGCGGGGCGGGGCGGCCGGTGCTGCCCGGGAGCGGGCAGGGGGACCTGGGCTGGGCAGGGACTGGTGGGGAGGAACGGAGGGACGGAGGGACGGAGGGACGGGAGGCAGCGCAGCGGAAGGAGCCGGGCTCCAGTACTCACGGTGCATTGCTGAGAAGGGGTCTGCCTTGCAGTGCATATCCATGGGGAGGCAAAGGAAGGGGAAGAAATCGGCTGAAGCCGCCGTGTCGCCTCTAAAACTCAACTTCAAGACTTAGGGGAGAAAAAAATAAGCAAACAAACAAACAAAACAAAACAAAACAAAAAAACCAAAATAACAAACCAAAGCAAAGCAAACGAAAGCAAACAAAAATAAAACCGAAGCGAAAAGCAGACTGAGGGAGAGGAGCGAAGGAGCGGCGCCGGCCGGGCCGGGGCGCGGGGCCGGCGCTTCCCAGGCGGGCGCT